TCATTACATGTAATTAGGACAGGAGTGTTCTGCTCCCGCGATCGGATCTTGTCACCGCCAGCAGCTCCGCCAGCCCCGCCGCTCCCCTGCTGCCCGGCCCCCCGGCATGGCCCTGGGGTCCCCCAAACGCAGCCCTGCCGGTGCCCCTCACTCCCGACCCACAGCCCCCACAGCCAGCCCTGCCCCCCCACCCCCCCGCTCTGCCGGTGCCCCTCACTCCCGACCCGCAGCCCCTGCCATCCCAGCTTTCTGCATCCAGTTGCTGCTCCCGTCCCAGCCCCGGTGCTGTGGGGCTCGCGTTGCCGGCACTGTGTGCTCACTGCCTGGGCAGCCCTGCTGGGCGGTAGTGGGGGCTCGTATCCGGAAGGGAAGCAGGGGCAGCGCGTGCTGGGCTGGCTGCACTGGGCGGCAGGGGGCTGAGGGGCAGGGGGGGCCGGGATCCGGGCTGTGCCCAGCAGAGCCAGACGGGGTCAGAACTGCGCCCAGCGCCTATGGCGAGGTCTCTCCAAGTAAGGATCCTTCCGCTCTCCGGCCTCCCCACCGCTCCCGTCCTGGACAATCAGACCCCGTCCGAGCCCCAGGGGTGCCCCCCTCTGCCAGCGCCTGCACCCGTGGGTCCCGCCCTGCTCAGCCCAGCGCCCCGTGCCCTGCGTGGCCAGCCAGGGGTTATGGGCACCTGGCCCCCCTCACAGGGCTGCCAACGGCTGCATGTGGGTCTCTGTCCCAGGGAGCTCTCCGTGGGGCGGGGGATGGGAACAGGCTGGGGGGGCTGAGGTTTGAGTTGGGGGCTGGCAGCAGTGGGGGCTGGGGACGGGCTGGGTTGGGGGCTGGGGGCAAGTGGGGGGGGTGGGCTGGAGGCAGGTGGGGGGGCAGGCTGAGCTGGGGGCTGGGCTGGAGGCGGGGGGGCTGGGAGAAGGGGCTGGGGTGGGGGCTGGGGCTGGAGGCAGGGGGTCTGGGAGAAGGGGCTGGAGGCCGGGGGGAGGGGGGGGCTGTCCCAAAGGGGAAGTGCCCGTCCCGCTGGGTCCTGCTGCTCCAGGATCTCGCCCCGGCTCTGCCCCACGGGCTTCCGGCTGGTGCAGGGCGCTGGGGGGAGCTGGGCCTGTCCCTCACCCCCGGGCCGGGCTGGCCTGTGTGGATGGCTGTGCCTGGGGAGTAACGACCAGCTGGTGGGCGCCGGGCACCCTTGGGGGGCAGCGCAGGGGGAGTCGGGGACCCGAGGGCTCAGCCACCCCCTCCCCCGCTGCAGCCCAGGCCCGAGGGCAGACAGAGACCTGGCCCGGACCCCCCAGAGTGGGCACTCGGCCTGGGCCCCTTGGAGCTGCTGCCGCTGGAGCCCCCGGCCCGGAGCCCCCGGCTATTCGAGAAGCTAACCGGGCAGCTCTGCCAGCCCAGCAACGGGCTTGGGGCTCCCCCAGGCTGGGCTGGGCCCCTCTGCCCTGCAGGGCCTGGGGCCGAGCGCAGGAGAAGCCCGCAGGGGTTGGCTGGGGGGCCCCCAGGCTGGCCCAGGCCCTGTGGCTGGGGCCGGCTCTCTGCAGCCCACGCTCGCCGCGCCGGTCGCTGAGTCCCGCAGCCCCCGAGAGCTGCGGCCGTCGTGTGCAGCGAGCGGCTTGTCCCTGCGCCGGCCAGCGGCCCCTGCACGGGGGGGAGCAGCCCAGCCACTTACCCAGAGTAAAAATAGCCGGGCACGGCGACATTTGTGGCAGGCGGCTCCGGCGGAAAGGTCAGCGAGAGGCCCTGTGGTGGGGGCGCCGCTGATTAGCCGGGGGAGTTAAACGGCGCCTTTGTCAGAGCCAGGAACGAACACGCAGGAAATACGGGGAGGGGGGAGGCCCCAGCCCACGGCCGAACCGGGCCCCTCCCTGCCCAGTGTCTGGGTGCGGGCTGGGCGCCAGCAAGCAGCGGGGGGGTCTCCAGGCGGCTCCAGGCTGCTGGCTGGGCTGGTCAGAGCGTCAGCCCCGGGGATGGCAGCCGCCGAGCAGGGGGTTTCCCACCTGACCCACGGAGGGCGAGCTCGGGGCTCTGCCGGCTGACTGCTGCTGCCGGCGGGTGGCACCTTCGCTCTCAGATCCGGCCGTCCCGCCACACCAGGGCGCTGCCCCCGCCTGCCCCTCGGCAGCACCCACAGGACAGGCGCGGGGTCACACTGACCCAGCAGAGCAGGGACCCCACGTCCCCGCAGCACGTTCCGGACGTCCCCAGGGACCCCGAGTCCTGCCAGCTCCCCACGGCCTCCCCACTGCCCAGAGCGGGAGGGATTCACCCAGCGTCACACAGGGACGAACCTCGATCGCCCAGATTAGTGCCCGATGCCTCCGTCCAACAGCGTCCTCGTACAGCGCTGCCGGTGCCCCTCACTCCCAACTCACAGCCCCCCAGCTCTGACAGTGCCCCTCACTCCCGACCTGTAGCCCCTGCTAGCCCCACAGCTCTGCTGGTGCTCCTCACTCCCGACCCGTAGCCCCTGCTAGCCCCACAGCTCTGCCGATGCCCCTCACTCCTGACCCACAGCCCCCCAGCTCTGCCGGTGCCCCTCACTCCCGACCTGCAGCCCCACAGCTTTGCCGTTGCCCCTCACTCCCGACCTGCAGCCCCTGCTGTCCCCTGTATTTCCATAGGCCTGGCCCTGGTGCCTGGCTCTGTCTGCTCGGTTTCTTCTCTAGCTGCCTGATCCTGGAGGCTTCGCCCCACACCCCGGCCGGCTAGAGCAGCGCAGACCCACCGGGCCCTGGGAACTCCCCCGGCCCCGACCCGGCGGCTCCGGGCCAAGCCCAGCGCCCGGGAGCCCAGCCCCGCGAAGGCCCCTGCCCGGAGGCCGGTCTGTGCCAGGCTCAGCGGATCCTGCCAGCTGCGGCGGAAGCGCTGCCAGCTCTCGGCAGCCTCCCCGGGGCCGGGTTCGCGGGGCCGAGCCGAGACAAAAGGCTTTTGACAGGGATTTCGCTTTTCAGAACAGCCGCCAACCTGAGCGCACGAGGCAGCGAGCGATCGCCCGGCAGGCGCACGGGGTGACAGCAGCCAGGCTGGGGGCTCCTCCATCCGCCCCCACCTGCTCTGCCCCCCCGGCCCTGCCCAGGCTGTTCCTGCAGGCTCCAGGCGCTGGGGGGGCCATGAACGGTGCCAGCCCCCGGGGAGGGGCCCTGCCCCCCACCCGTCGGGCTGCGGCACAGTGGGGGTGGGGAGCTGCCAAGGACAGGGAGAGATCGACAGCCCCCCCCCCCCCGCCTGCCCAGTGCCCGCTCGCCCACGCGGCAGCCTGGCTACCAGCCAGGGGCTAAACCGGCCCCTGCCAGCGTCAGGGAGAGACCCCTCCCCCACCGTGTCCCCACCCTCGCTGCCTGCCGCAGGGCCTGACCCGCTGTGCCCCAACTCGGTGCCCCGGAGCCGCCTGCCTGTGCGGGGGGTTGGGGGGGGCAGTGCTCAGGACACGCTATGGCCACTGCGCTGGGCTCAGGCAGGACTGGGCCACACCCCAGGATCAGGCCGGGGCAGCCCAGCAGCCCCCGCCCCAGCCGCTGCCAAGGACTAGCCCAGGAAACCGCCCGCTGGAGCGTGACGGTGCTCCTCACTCCCGACCCGTAGCCCCCTGCTAGCCCCCCAGCTCTGCCGGTGCCCCTCACTCCTGACTCCCAGCACCACGGGCTCCCTGCTCCCGCCACCCCAGGTCCCACCAGAGACACGGGCCCCCCAGCTGCCCACGCCAAGGCCGGGAAGAGCCGCTGGGCAGGGCGGGGGGCAGCGCAGGCGGGGGTGGGTGCCCGGGCCCCTGCGTCTCTCCCACACCGGAGCGCAGGGGGACCCGCAGTCCAGCTGCAGGGAACCAGGCTGCGGCTCTGCCCCCCCGAGCCGGCGGGAGATTTACAGCTCGGCCCGGCTTTACGACTCGGAAGCTGCTTACGCCGGGATTTTCCCCCCGTGCCGGCCCATAAAGAACCAGGCTGGTGACGGGCCGGAGGCTGATTTCCAACTCGCTGCCTGCAGTAAAGGGCCCAGCGAGGGGCAGCCCTGCCCCCCAGGAGAGCACACAGGGCCAGGCCCCAAGCAAAGAGCCAGCCCCACTGCTGCCCCACAGCTCCTGGCCAGAGCGCTGCTCCAACCCACCTCCGCTGGGACGCACTCACACCAGTTCCCACGGCTGAGTGGGGTGAGAACCCAGGAGTCCTGTGCCCACCCCAGCACAAGCTGGGGGAGAGGAGCAGTGCCTGGCTCTTCCCCCCCCCACGTTCCCCCCCCCCGCACCAGCCCCACGCCCCCAGTGGGCCCCCAACACCCACCCCCCGGCACTACCCGTCCCTCCCCACGGCACCCTGCTTAGAAACGGCCCCACACAGCAACCCGCCACACCACACCGCCAGCAGCGGGGCCCAGGGCTTGGCCCCAGGGAGTCTGGGCTCTGCCTCGAAGGGCTCAGTGGGACCCGGCGCTTAGCCAAGCCCTCCAGCGACGGGCAGCCCCACAGCCAGCCCTTCCCCTCTGTGCTGGCCTCACTTCCAGCCCCCGATCCTGGGCAGAGCCCCAGCCTTCGATCCCCCTCCGCAGGCTCAGCCCAGGGACCCTGGCGGGGGCAGTGAGGAGACAAGTGTCTGTGCCCCCCACCCCCTCCAGGGGCCAAGGCACAGAGAGGGGATCAGAGCGCCGGGCTCCCGGCTCCCAGCCCTGTGCTCATGCCTCTGCCCAACAGCCGCACAGGCCATGACCCCCTCTGCCCCCCGCGGGCACCTGGCAACACCCACCAGGGAGAGGGGCAGCATCCTGCCCTCCCCAGAGCCCCCCTCTCCTCTCCCCCACCTCACTGCACAGAGATGGCATCTCCCCTGGCCAGCTCTGGCCTCATGCTGCTGGGTGAGCCCCGCTGCCCTGCGCCCTGATGCCTGCGGCCTCCCCTCCCCGAGCCGGGCGCGGGCTGCGGCTGGCAGCGCTGCTCCGGGAGTGAGGATCAGGCCGCCTGGCAGCCGCAGGAGGGAAGCGGCTCATTTCCAGAGTCATTACGGGCGGCAAAGGTCCCATCAGGTATTCCGCCCGCTCAGCACATTGATTTCCCCAAAGCACAGCGCGGATTTGGGTCTTCCGGTGCCTGCGCTAGCCCCAGCTGGGGCCGCGCTGCCTGGACCAGCACGTGGGGAGTGGCCTGGGCCCTCGGGCCCCGCGTGGAAAGGGCCAGCCCAGGGCCGGGCAGGCTGCCGGGGCAGACGGAGGCACGTTGGGAGCAGCAGCTGCTCAGGCGCTCCAAGCGCGCGTGTGACCCTGGCACCCCATGGGGTGTCTCTCCTCGCGAACCCCCTGCCAGCCCCGGTGCTGGGGGCTGCCCCCGTGCTGCCCGGCGACCCCAGTGCCACCCAGCCCGGCCGGCCAGACAGCAGCCAGGCACTGAGCAGGGTCCCACAGACCAGAGCAAGGCAACGAACTGCAACTTCCCAAAGCATCCAGCAACCCCTCAGCTCCCCCCTGGCACCAGCTCTGCAAGCCCCTCCATCTGTGGGGGCCCAGAGCCCTGCCCCCAGCACAGCTCGGCCCCTGGACAGAGCTCTGGGAAGGGCTCTCCTCGGGGAACCTGGAGGGAAACTCGAGCAGACAACGCTGGAGCAGCAGGTGCCAGCGCCCAGGGCCAGGCGCCTCCAGCCGGGCGGGGACTCACCACGGTGAAGTTCTGGGAGGAGCACTTCTCGCCACTGAAGTTGCAGCTCTGGAGCATGTCGTCGAGCTGGTGGCCGGTGCGGTTGAGGATGTCGGCCATGTCCGGGTCCGGGTAGAGCAGGTCGGCCGCCCTGTGCCCCTCGCGGTCCTTGGGGGGCAGCCCGGTCATGTTGGCCAGGTGGAAGATGTCGGCGTCGGAGAGCGCGGAGTGGCGGAAGCGGTTGATGTTGCAGATGGTGACGGCCGGGAAGAGCATCTCGCGGGCGGCCTCCTCGTCCAGCGCCGTGAGGTGCGGGCGCTCCAGGTAGAGCAGCGCCGAGCGGGCCGCCTGCGACAAGAAGAAGGCCAGCGAGAGCAGGAAGGCGAACGCCCACAGGGTCTGCCGGACGCCCAGGCGCCCCGACCCACAGATGTGGCCAAGGCCGTGCAGGGTGCTAGTGCCAGCGAAGGTGGCCAGGTCGCGGGTGCGCGGGCGGCTGGGCTCCTCGATCAGACTCTCCTTGTCCCCTTCCTCTTCCTCCTTCTGCTTCTCATCCTCCTCGGCAAATTTAATTTTGCACACGATCTCAATCGGCATCTGCCCAGAGCGGCCGGCGCGCCCACCGTGCCCAGCCAGCGAGCTCGCCCCCGGCGCGGGGACCCGGCCAGACCCGGGGACGGGCACGGCAGAGCCTCCTCTGGGGCAGGACACCTCACCCGCCAAGGCAAGCGCAGCCCTTCTCCGGAGCTCCCAGCCGCTGCTTCCCGCTTGTCTCACTAGTCGATCGTCTCCTTGTGCCTTCGCTTATCAGCACAAATACAGCTGTCAAATAACCCTGCCTCTGCCTCCGCTGAACGCTGCTAAGACCCGGCAGACACAGGCAGCATGTGCTAATACAATCCAGGGAATACTTAATCATTCAAGACATGTCACCGTTATTTCCCCGTGCAGCCCGGCGTGAGCGGAGGCAGCGGGCAGCGACCGGAGCCCCCGGGCAGGGGCACCGCGCCGAACCGAGCCCCGCCAGGCTCCAAAGTGCTGCTCCAGCCACTTGTTAGAATAGCTCGCCGCGGCAAAGTGATGCCAAGGAGAGCAGAGAGCACTGCCGGCCTCAGCTGCCGCTGCCGCTCGCTGGCAGCTCCGCTCGCCCGCCCGCCGGGGCCTGGCACCCCCTGCCCACGAGTTCCTGCCCCAGGAGAGGAGCAGCCCCGTGGCGGGAGAGGGGACGGGGAGCCGGAGGCAGCCTGCAGCCAGCCAGCAGAGCAGCCCCTCCTAATCCCCCGGCTGTGGATCCTCCTGGACGTTAACCGCCTCCCTGCCGTGCGGCTCCTGCTCCCAAAGTTGGGAGGTGCAAATCCGCTGGCTCCTCGCGGCCGTGCCGCCCGTGCCCTCGCCGCGGGCCACCTGCCTCCTCCCTTGCCGGCTGCGCGATCAGGGGCGAGGAGGGAGGAAGCCGGCAGGAGGAGCTGCCCGATCGATGGCGCTCCCCGCGGAACAAGCAGCGGGAAAAGTGAAAAGGGTTATTGATCCGTGCGAAGCAGCAGCTGTCAGGGATTAGGGCTCCCTCCCCTTCCCGGGAATTAATGCCGCGCGGAGCGGAGCCCGAGCCGGCTGCAGCTCTGCATGCGCCAGCGGTTCCCTCGGCTCCGGGCTGGCCAGGCTCCTGGAATCGCTGCTGCCAAGTTCCTGCGCCCCCCCAACGCCCGAAAGGGGGGCCAGGGAACCTCAGGCAAACGCCGCCCCCCTGGAGAGAGGCCCTGGAGCAATGCACCACCCGGCTCGCCCAGCGTGCCCGGGGGCTCACCGGGCCCCGGAGCCATGGGGCAGGAGCTTCCCCACCAGGCAGCTGCAGCCTTTGGCCCAGTCCCAGGGGCGCGGCAGGGCTAAGCACCCGCCGATGGCCCCAGCTCGTTTCAAGGCCGGGAATGTCCAAGCAGAGGCAGGGAGCGGAGCAGGGGCCCCCTAGCCCCCCACCCTGCCTGCCACGCAGGTCAGGCCCTGCCGCCCAGGACCTGCAGCAGCACCAGCTGTGCCTCCCCCCCACTCAGGTGCAGCCCCGGGAACACCCCCCCCTCGCTAGGGCACCCCCCCGGCAGCCGCCCCCGCGTCCCCTAGCACCGCGCAGCGGGTCAGAGCCACCCTCACGCCGCGGCCGATGCCA